TAGCTCCTTAACCAAACATCCTTTTATTACTAAGACTTATCCCATTGCTCTAAAGTTATTCTCAGTTTTATTTAAATATACCATAGAATGGATTGGAAGGAGAAAATTTTGGTGTTGTTATTGGGAGATCTTATTGTAGAATATCCTGTTTTCTGCTCATGTACGTATCTACTTTTTCGTAAACTTTTGTGTTATTCAGGTTTTAAAAGGCTCCATGCTTGAGACAATAACATTTTACACAACCCAAAGGACTTACAACCAAAAGGGAGGGAGAGTTGTCAAGTCTAGGAGAAGTCCTCTCCTGAACATCAGACTTTCACCGATGCTGTGAAGGTCCTTGAATTTCGAGAGGTTGGAACCAGTAATAATAGGCTTTTTGGTGGCAGATTTAATCTAATAAAAAACACCTTAGGTGTAAAAAAAGGTGTGGCCAACAAAGGATTGGGCTTGCGACTTAAAGGAATGAAATCAAAATTGGCAGTCCAATCTGATAGCCACATTTTTAGCATTGATAATAATTTTACAGCAAATATTCATTCATTAGTTAGCCAGGCCGCGTTTTTTGTTCAATTTGGGGCATGATGGTGGGTAAAACAAAATTTATCTTTTTTATATATTTAATGGTGAACATCGTAAGACTTGGAGACACAAACATAAATTTTGGCAGGGAAGAAGTCACTTCAGTTAAGACAGCTCTCTTTTTTAACAGGTTGTTTGGTCTCTGAAATGGATTACATTTCGATGTGGTGGATGCAGTTAATTTAAAAGCGTTTAAGGGAAAGTTTGAAAATATTTGAATGCTAAGGGCCAGCTTTGAGGTGTTTTATAAGGTATAGTTTACTTCAGAGGATAGGACAGATGAAACATAAGGCCCCTTGCTGTTCTTTAATGTTATATTTTGTCATGACTCTTTTCTCCTTCTTGATATAGACTCAGGAAAGAGAATTGCCAAAAGCTGATACACCCAGAATGTTCAAATAAGTTATTCACCTAACAAGCGACCTCAGTAACAGAAGATCAATCAGATGGTGTGATTTCTGGCAAGATTTAAATTGAGTAGGGCATTCTGTCTTGGAATCCCAGGTTTTTAGTTGCTAGAGTTGCTCAATCAAAACTCTGGTTGAAGCCACCCAAGACTAGCTGAAAGAGCCTGGAGGTACTATTGGAGATGCCATTCACCAACAAGAGCTATCTCATTGGTAGGTGAGATGGTGGGCATTGAATGGTGAAGTAATTGGGTCATTGGATAGTGATATCTCCATGCTAGGAGATGCACTACTGAAACAATCATGGATCACAAGAAAGCCTTGGGTCACGTAAACCCAATGAACTAGTGCCAATCACATTTCATCATTCTGCCATCCTAAAGCAGGGACTATTGCTTGTTAGAGCTTGGTGCTGGTCAATAATCTACAAGAAAAAGACTTTTCACGAACTCATAGGTCTCTGTGTGTAAGGCCAAGTAGATTTCTCATTATACACTTAAGAGTGTAGTCAAGAGAGATCTGAACCACTTCCTTAATCCCTTCAGATAGGTCACTGTCTGGAATAACATATTCAGTGACAGACAAAGTAATGTCTGATGCTCGCGAATCTGTATGGTTTATTGTTTGACTCTACCAAATTATTGGATAAGGAGGAAAGGGCAGACAGTTTTATCTCTCTCTATTCTCAGTGAGACAGGAGGAGAAATGTCATATTCAGAAGCAAGGGACAGCTCCAACAATCAACTGATATGTCATTGCTAGCTTTTCAAACAATATAGTTGGAATTAAACTTTATCGCATAGAGCTATAACAGTCACTGATTGTAGGATAACTAACTGAAGAGAATTGGAGATCCTTGCTTTCCAAGTTATCAAGTGACATTCACTATATAATATATGCATTACATTGTGTGATATTGTGTGAGCTTCACTTGATCTTAATTATTATGAAGCTGAGTCAACTAGAGCTAGAAGATTTAAGGACTAGTAAATTAACAGTTTGTACAACTAAAGATGATAGCTACAAGTTTAAAAACTCAGTTGAAAGGGCATTGTGACTCTTACTTTCTGAGCTATTGGGGGTATTTTTAGGTACAATGTATGCACTTCATTGTATGATTACCACTCAGCCATCTGAAGTTAGAGTGGTTTACTGATTTTTAGATCAAGTAGATCAAAAGAGATTTGCTACCCATATTTTCTGAGCTATCGAGTAATTTAACTATGGGAGATATC